ATTACTCGGTCCATATGACGTAAATGCTTAACTCACAGATGTGTAGACACCCCATTTTTTTTTTTAAAAAACTGGTAAATTCCATGATTTTCCCAACCTTAGAAAACCCTTAGGACGATACTATTCCATAAGATCCCTAAATCATAGAACACCGTTGTCCATGGCCTCTATCCTGTGATCCAATATCCCAACATAACTTTTTGTTATTAAACTATATCCATTCCAACCAATTTTGGGCCTTTAAAAATAGGTTTTGGTCAAACCATTAGACTGTGTGCCCAGGGAATTCAGAGAGAAACAGTGAAAGCAGAGAGCAAATCCTAGATCTAGAGAAGCAACCTTGAAGCCCGAGTCCCCCTGAAACCAACTTTCAACCTTAGATCAGCAAAACTCTAGTTCAACCAAGCCAAAGCTTGGTCAATTTTGAAGAGAGAACAACAGAGGACACACGGTGTAAACACAACTGTGGTTCTGATACGGGCAAGGCCTTGAAGCCTCGGGTGCCCCGGGCCAATTGGCTTGGGCAGGTAACCTTTCTTCTCCATTTCTAGTTATTTTATTTACTTTATTAGATTAAGGATTCGTGTATTGCTTTTTATTTTTTTTATTTTGATTTTATTTTGTATTTCATTGCATGGATCGATGCTGGCTCTGCCACTGATATGAGATCAGATATGCTCATTTTTTGGTAGATCTGACCTTAGATCAGAATTCAAATTGTCCCCACTCTCTATCACTTTTGGAAACAAGTTTGTGGTTCGGATCCGAGTGATCTTCTTCTGAAGATCTCTTCGATCTGCATCCTAAACAGTTTTCAAAGTTTTTATAGGGCGAATTGCCACAAATCATTTTTCTGAAAAATAAAATTTCTTTTAAGGCCATTTCTTCAGAAGAGATGGTTAGGGCCATCCTAAACAGTTTTCAAAGTTTTCAAACTTTTTTGAAAAGGAAAATTTTAAAAGAAATTTTATTTTTCAGAAAAATGATTTTTCAAAGTTCTGAAAAATAAAATTTCTTTTTTTTGAAAAGGAAAATTTGCTTTGCAAGGAAAACTAA